GCAAGGGATCAGAGGCAATGTGTGCAGCGACTTGCCTGCTTTCTCTGGCGAAGTTGTGTGAATTTGGGACCATATTTCTCGGTGAGAAAAGGAAAATCTGAACGGCTCCATATGACCCAATTGCCAGCGATGGGGAGCGATGGTGTGTGGGCCCCATTCCGGAGCTGCCGCAGTAAGGTTCTGCACACAGAAGTGCTTGGAAAGGAAAAGAGGCTGACCTGCCATTTCCCTGAATTTTTGCCCCAAAAGTGCTTATTTTGAATTATTTCCCTAGCAACCCCAAGCCTGTTGATGTGGAAGCAGCCGGTGCCAGCAGAGCAATCCCCTAACACTAGCTCAAGATGGTGGATTTGAAGAAAAAATCCACACAGCAACAGACTGAACGTGCAGACTGAAACGCTGCGGTAGGACCTGTGAACAACTGACAGGAAAATCCCCGGGCCCAAAACCCTGGGCACAACGCCTCTCTCCAGCCAAACCAGTTTCAAACCAGGGCAGCAGCTGGTTTTGGTGCTGCCGTCCCTGCCGCCCTGCTGGGCCAGCCCGTTCGGGCACCTCCTCTGCCTCCCTCCTTGCCGCATGGGGAAGAGCTGAGCAACCAGCCCTGGGGAGGGAGGCTGCGGTTCAGAGAGGGGGAGCGCTCAAAAAGCATTTAATTTTCATTAATGAAAAGGGGACATTTCATTCTCACCTCCCTCCCTGGTGCCAAGGCAGGACCGGCTGTGTCCTGGCAGATGTCTGGCCCCGGAGGAGCAATTCGGGGGGGGAAGCTTTGGCCCCCCGCGGGTACCTGGAGGGGCCTGGGGTGACCCCCTCCCTGATGTCTTTTTCCAGGTAGAAGCCATTCAAAGGAAAAGAGAGAGAAAGAGAGAGAGAAAGAGAGGAGGAGGGAAAAAATAGAAGGCACTAACTAATTAACTGAAGGTTTTGGGGTAAGTTTTGGAGAGATAAGAGCAGACCAATTCCTCCCTGAGCTTGCTCAACCCCCAAATGGGGCAGCCGGGAAGGGGAGGGCACTGCACCCTGTGGGTAGGAAGGGGCCGTGGGGTGGCCCGAGTCGGGGCCAGGCTTCGGAGCGGCTCCCTCTCTAAAGCCGTACACCTGCTCCTGTGTTGTCCTTTCATCCTGCCTTGCCCGGGTGGCACTGGCTGATCCGGAGGATTGTCTGTGCTCCTGCCACTAATCCAACCAGAGGCATCTTTTCACGTCCAAACTTCATTAGCCGTTTTCTTATTGTTTTGCTGATTATTGCTGGTTTTGCTAATAATGTTCTACTCAATCTCTCACAGCCATCCTTTCTTTAAGAAGGAAAGAAGTGTAACTCATGGAGACTGCTGACAACGTACAGAAATTCAGCGATCAGTTTAAGGGCAATAACAGCCCAAATGCCAGTCCCAAGGGTGCCTACCTGCATTAATCATGTTGAGCAAAGCTGCTAACGCTGCAAAGGCCGCTGCGCTCCTCAGCCTGCCAAGCAAGGCTGTGGGCTCAGAGAGGTGGCGGCATTCCCAGAGGCATTTCTTGAAACTCAGTTAGGTCTGGCTGGGGAAGGAGGCGTTTGTCGGTGCGAGAGAAGAGGCCGTGACGGCGGGTGGGTGGGAAGGCAGCGTGGCTGACCTGTGTCGCAGCAGGGGCTGAGACCCTAACCCATATCAAGAAGATGGTGTGCTTGGGACCACGGGCTCTGTGCTCCTAACACCCTGCAACCAGCAAGGGAAGAGCTCTCCCCAAATCCTTAGACTTTGCCTGCTTGCTTTTTATTTATTAAAGTATTGAAACTGCCTGAAGCAACCAAAGTGCATTTTGTTCCAGCTGCCAGGGCTTGGAAGTAGAAAAGAGGCACATGTACTGCTTTTAGTGGTATGCATATCCACCCACCTGTTGGAGCAGTTAAATACAACTGGGTTGGCTGCAGTCTGAAGCGAGAGCTATGAATGGAATAGCAAGCGAAGTAATTTGTACAAGCAATGTCTAAAGCAGCAGCTAATGGAGAAGTGGCTGACATGCATGTTCTGGCTCTTTAGTGCTTGTTCCGAGGAAATGGCCTGACACCCTCGGCACAGCAGAGCTGCTTAACTACCCTCACGGACAAGACTTGAAAGACAAAAATTAGTTATAATTGCAATATTACTGCAGTAATGTTTGCCTCCTAATTGCCTTTCAGTAAAAAAAAAACCCCACGCAGTGAGGGATTTTTATTATAAGCATTACTTACATGTAAAAATGAATCCACTAACTGCCTCCCCTGTAAAAGACAGAACATTAAATATCATGGGCTGGACAGTCCTGTCATACCTACAAGTGTCATATCAAATGAGATAGCACCACTGACTGTATACATCAGATACATACATGAAAACTATTTCAGCATATTAAATGTGGGAACATCATTGCCACCATGGAGTCTGTAAATAATGCGTTGGTATTATCAGCCCTCTCAGCTGCAATGGCTGGAGTAGGGGAGGTGAAGGGAAGGGATGAGACAGAGAGCTGAAAGGGAAGGATTCTTGCTCAGGAAAGTCTGTAGTTGTGGAGGTTTTTTTCCCACTCTCAGAAGAAAATGTGAGGTTACAGATTCTCCAGAAAAATACAATAAAATGCAAAAATCTTCTTGGAACAAAAATGTTCCATTTCCAAAATGTCAAAATGATGTTTTGACATTACCAAAAGCTGTAGTCTCAGTTAAATAGAATTTTACGTTAGAAAGTGACATGCTTTTATGAGGAGTTTTGATTTTGACAGAGTGGGATTTTCCAGCATTGAAGCCATCTGATAAAGTCTAACTACCTCTGACTACTGATATACTACAGCAAGGTGGGTTTTAAGTGCAGGAATTAAAATCCCCTTTTGTAAAAAAAAGAGAGGTTAAGGAAGCTCAAAATTATGGGGGGAAAAAAAACAGAAAAAGATTGTTTGAGGACTCTCTGAAGGTGGCATCACTAGTACAGGAAGATTTTTACATATTTTGGGGATCTTTGTGGGGAAAATATTAATTTTTTTTAAAAATGGAGGAGTGAAAAATGAACTGTACAGGTTTGATGTTGATGTGAAGTCACCTCTGCCTCAACGAGACAGCCAGCTGAACAGATTTCTGTTCTCTACACCATAGACACAAAGTGATGCAGGTGGGTGTTACCTTCCAAGCATCGGCGTGTTTAGGGTTCAGTATATTGCATCATGATAGTATACGACTTTTCATTTAACACACTTGTTCAGCTATTCCTATTAAAGGTGTTTCAGTGTGCAGACAGGATTTGCTGAAAGCTGGTTGGTCCTGTAAAGATCCAATCCTGCAAACATATGCAGACAACTTCTTTCATTTGGGGGAGTAGTCCCCAAGAGTTTAGTGAAAGTCTTGTGGGATATGGTTTCTCACATCATTAAGGATTTTTGGGATTAGGTCTCGAACTGGTATCTTTTTGTAGGAGTTCTAGTCTAGCAACATGCATCAAGTTGAATTTTATTCCATGAGGTATTTTTGGTAATATTCTGTTCTGCATAAACAGGGTCGGACAGTATGACGTCTTGCGTATTATCAGGACCCTGTTTCTCAATTCAGTTGAGGCTAGCTCTAAAATAACCTGCATGACTTGCAAACACTTGCTACCTCTCCTTGTCATGCACTAAGGGTTTAAACTGTATGGATGTGTCCCTTCGTCATCCTCCTTTGTGAAGGATGAAAATGAGGGCATGCCCACGCCACAAATTTCCTCCTCAGCCTGAGACCTGTCCTTCTCCTGCCTGGCTACGTGGACTATCATTGAGCACCTTTTGGATTTGTGTAAGAAGCAGAAGAACATTATTTTTAATCCACTTGAGACGGAAAGCCCGGCACATCTGCGTATGTGCCGAAAGCTGTGGCGCAATCAGAAACTGACCCTACAGCGTCTGCCCCAGACCTGACCGTCGCTGCAAAGTGCAGAGATGTGCCCTGCATTGCCAGCTCCTAGTGGGGAATGCTCCTACCTGGCTCCCTCACTTTTTAAAAATGCAAACAGAAACAAACCCAGAAATACTGCTTTTTCTTTGAGTGCCACAAACTGTACGCCAGACAGAAACAGCTCAGGGAAGGGAGCCGACAGCTGAGCACGCCAGACACCGTGGGAGCCATCCACCCCCTCTTCGGCATAACGGGAAACATCCTGTCAGAAACACTCTCTGCATTTGGGCTTTTCTTGAATTAATTAGCTGTAAATGGTGACGGGCTTATCCTGCTGGGAGCCTGCGATTCCTAGTCGGTATTTATAGATGTGCTCGATAGGAGAGTCACGATGGTCAAAGCTCACCAGACAGAAAGCACCATGGCATCAGAGCTCCAGCCTCAAGTCTATTAGGGCTGCTCCCTCTAGTGGGAAAAAGTACTTTAGCTGCAAAAAACCCTTTTCCCCCCTATTTTTTTTTTTTTTAAACATTCTTTTTCTTTTTTTTTTTTTCCGGTTTTTTTTTTTTTTTTTAACATTCTTTTTTTTTTTTTTTTTTAAAGCGAAGAATTCAAGTTTTCCAGATAGTGCAAGACATGGGGCAGTTCCCATCAGACAACAGGTAACCAAACGCTGTGCTTTTCCAGCCCTTGAGCATCAGTGGTGGAGCTGGAGCCCAGCGGATGCAGGTCAGCAGTTACTCCTCTGAGGTGGACCCATGGCAAGTGAGGGACTCTTGGTTAGTCTTCCAGTAGTCCTCAGCCTATGCCATGGCTGTGTTTGTTTTTGATTTCCCACTTCTGATTACAAAAATAGGACTTACTATAATCATAATAATATTAATGATATAAAATAATTATTGTAATTATATACTTTTTGGCAAATTATTAACACAAAGCAGCCCAAAAGACCCCATTGGATTAAAAAAATGTGACAATGCATAAATGTTAAAAAAGACAAAGTCTTTGTTAAAAAAGAGGGAAAAACAAGCTGCAAATGAATGCATTTCTGTAAGGCAACATGTTACCTTTAGTTTTCCATCTAGATTTACGTCAGGTTCTGTTGTTGTTCAAGAAGTTGTTAGAACTTGGCTTGCTTGAGCTTATCAATGTGGTAACACAGTTTCAGCGCAGGTCCCAGTTTCAGCCCCAGGTATTTCATGATCATATCACTTTTCAGCAGCAGCAAAGCATTGCCATCAATCTCCTGGTTTCAAAAGAGAGAAAGAGAATCAAAATGTGTTAACCCCCTTCCAGTGCTGTGTCCTGACACGTTAAACAAGGTGACTCAGAAACAGCATGTCTTTTAGAGTAGACCTAGCTGAAATGTCATGCATTTTGAAATCTCATTAAAAAAATTGAAATCTGAGGTGTGATAGAATGAAACTCTAAAGGAGGGGTTAATCAATAGTACTTTTTATTCTTCAAGGAACTGTAAGGTTTGCCTAGGTTTTCAATTATTTTGCAATTAAAACATGAGGATTTAAAAAAAAAAATCAGAGTTGCTCTAAGCCCAATTCTGAGAAAAGCTAGTCAACCTTGAGAGAAAGGAGTGAGTGACGGAGAGAGGGAGAGGGATGTGGCCTCATGAACTGCTAATAGCACATCTGTGAACCTCAGTTCCAGCTTTGTCCCTGGCTATCTCCATGTTTTACATATCCCCTGTGCACTTATATCTGGTGATATATCTCTCTCTCTGTTTTTCTTAAATTGCAGATAGTAGTAACTTGCTTATTTTATTGCATTTATTACTAAAAATTGTTCAAACTTCATTGAACCATCATGTAAGTGGAGGAGATTACCACGAAGTTCAGGTTTTTATCCCAGACTTTTTGGGTTGAAAGCCTTTTGAAATCACAAGGTGAACACAAAGTAGCTTGGGTGCACAGAGAATCGGACTGTGTTTTACTATGGACTGTAAACCACAGAAGCTTTCAGCTACACTGTCCTTCCTTGGATCGTGAGCTTGTTTGTTTTTTCCCGACTATATTAGTGGATCTGCTAAAAAATACTATCTCTCCCCCCAGTCTCCATCACACTTACATACTCGGATCGTCGGAGCTAAAATGTAATGAGTGCTACGTGTGTGCGCATAGATGCACACGTATACACACATGCTAATGCTGTATATATTGTATTCTGTTTGTGATGGTCAGATCTTTCCTCTGTGATCCATTACCTACTAATTAAGCAATATTATGGATCCTAATTTGCCCCGATCATTATTATTCCATTCAGTAGGTGATTTAGGTGATGAGCAGTTAAGGTCACTTTCTGATTAACTCAATCAATTAATGCTCTTCATTTTGCAGCCCCCACTCTATCCATAATAGAAACTCTCTTCACCTTCCCCCTCTCCTTCCCATTATTTTAAGGAAGCTAAGGGAAAGTAAGAATAAGTGTTACATGTAATTAATATTTGCATAAGAATGAAAAACAAACTCCTGGAACTGTGGTGCCATAGGGTAAAAACACTGTCAAGGGTTTGGTGTGGAGGTAGCTGTTTCTAAATGTTGAGTTCAGCATTTTATTATTTCCTTTATTATTATCATGTAGGGGTCAAAATTAAACTCCATGACAAGAGTATGCCAGAGGGAGCATTCATATCCAATTAAATATCCCATATTAGCCATGTCCCTGTGCAGATTGTTGGCTTGACTTCTCTACAGTATTACTGTGTCAGCCCTTTTAAAAATAATTTTAAAAAGAAGGATTCTATAGCATGGTCCCCAAATGTGCAATAGCCCCACCAGAAGATCTTGAAACAGATCTGGAGCTGGTAAAATTCAAGTGCCACCATTGCAATTAGCTTGTTTCACATGAGTTGAGATCTGCAACTTAGAATATTGCAGATCATTGCCATCTTCCTGCAAGGGGGTGGACATAGCAAACATATGAGCTGCGAGGTCATGATACAGTTGAGTATAAACATACAGCTTCCACCTGCATGGGGCTTTCACGTAGTGCCGCTGTGAGGTCTCTGCCAGGCCAATGGCTCCTTTGCGTGAGGCCAAAAGATCTATCAGTTATGGGCTAGGCTTTCCTCGGCACACGTCCCTGACGAGGGAGCAGGGAACAGCAGAGGGGAGGTAGTAGGCAGTTTCATGGTCTTTGGCAGACAATCTCAGGAGCCACCTGTGACAGAGCTCCTTGGGTGTCTTGGCAAGAAGAAAAGCTTCTGCTCCTGGTGGCAAGAGGAGACCCATGGTCATCCTGCAATGCATATGGCAGCTGAGGAGGATGCAGGCTGCACCTCCTTACTGGACCCTGGGAGAACCAGGTCCAGGGAATGTGGTCAGCACCCAAATGGCTTAATACAGAGGTAGGAAAGAGCACTGCCTGCACACAGGATACATCCCCCAGCCTTTTATTCCTGGTGGTCCCGCCATCCTCTGCCTCCCAGTGTCATAGTTCAGATGAGTTGATTGCCGAAGTAATGATTTCAGGTGATAGCTGGGCCTGGTCAATGACAGTAAGTGCTTCTAAGTAAATTATGCACCTGCTTCATAGGAAGATATGGCCAAGGTTAATGGACTAATCACTTGTCTCTCGCCCCTAGGGTCTCCATGCTAATCCAGATGAGATTTGAAGGCTGAAAAATTGCAGGGACATATATAACTCAAAGGCGTAATTGAACTGAATTGTGTGGCAATCTTACCCAGGTTCTCACACCTATGGCATATTTTACAAGGAAACCAATGATAAGTAGAGCCCACGGGTGCTGGGTGTTCAACAAAGGATGACAGGGACAGTCTTTAGTCGTGATTTAGCTTGGTCTCTTTGGTCACAAAGCAGCTGTAGTATTGTGGCATGCTCCAGTGCAGCTGGCCCATGACTGCCTGGAGCATGTCACTGCCCTGTTGCTAGATAAAAGCATTCTGTGCCATCCTTTGCTGCAAGTGGAAACTAAACAAAACTGGTGCTTTTGCACTATCCATATTTACAAGATGAATGTTAAATGTTTTTCTTCTTTGGGATGTACCTGTATGCCTCAGGCCATGGCAGTTCTCTCTTCTTGCATGAAGAGTTTTTTCTTGATGCACAGACCCTTCTGATAGTCTCCAAAACTCATGCTAAAGCAAGTTCCTTTAAATCTGAAGGTGGCTTGTTTATCTGCCTGGCTACCCACATGGCCAGTGTAGGCCATGTTCTATCAGCTTATAAGGCAGATCTGACTTCTCTGCAGAAGGCAGGGAAAGTAGTCTTGGCATCTGACCTGTAATTGGAGATTTCATCCTAGCACCACTGTGCCTGCTCTGTTGTTCTGATCCCACTGGCCTGTCTGCAGAATGGCAGATAGACTCAATACCTGCCTAGGGTGAGCAGACATCAAGGCTTGTGTTCACCTTCATTTTCATCTGCTTCTCAGCCACTTCCTCTCCTCAGTATCTGGAAACCCTGCATCCAGGGTGTAGCTGGAAGTTTATCAGTTGTTTTCCTCAGCTCTTGTCTGCAGCCCCACATTCCCACCCATCCCTGCTGGCACATGGGCAAGGAGTGGGACCCGGTGATCAAACCCTCTCGCTTGCTTTGCAACCTGAGGCACTGTTCAGGAGTCAGGGCGGGGGAGCTCTTCTCGTTTAGACCTAGGTCCAGGCACTTACATCCAAAGCTATGACCTCCAGCTGAACACAAGCGAGTCACTTTTAGGGTAAAATCCATTTTCATAGCCAGACTGAATTGATCAAGGAGGGATGGAGGAGGAGGAGGAGGCTGAAGATGGTATTGGATACATTGGTGCCAATTCCATATACAGCAGCAGAACAAGAAACTCCAGATCAGATGTGTGTTTACAGTCTTCCCCTTTACTACTTAAGGATAACATTTCCACCACTGCCGATTGCCTAGCAAATGCAACTATCATATTCTCCAGTGAGTCAGCAGGTCTGTTAAATTTGGTTATGTAGTTACATAATACTGAGGGGAAAAAGATTAAAAGCTTGGCTGGTTTGGGTTTCTCCTGCTAAATATCTACAGATGCATAAAAAATGCTCTTCAGAGAAGAATCACAGGTATCCTGGGAAAAAAATTGTCATTGAGACGAGGCTTTTTTTGTGCCAATGAAAAATGAGCACCAGATCCTCTGTGCTTTCTCTTAGGCTTGGCATAGAAACAACTTACACTGATGTAGTTGGGAACAAATAGTGAGCATTTTCTCAAGACATTGTTACGGTCTCCCCTTTGAAGGCTAAATAGAATAGAATAGAATAGAATAGAATAGAATAGAAGAGTTGAGCTGCGTTGAGTTGGAAGGGACCTACAACGATCATCCACTCCAACTGCCTGACAGCTTCAGGGCTGACCAAAAGTTAAAGCATGTTATTAAGAACATTGTCCAAATGCCTCTTAAACACTGACAGGCTTGGGGCATCAAGAACCTCTCCAGGAAGCCAGTTGCAGTGTTTGACCACCCTCTTGGGTGATAAGTGAACACTGCTTCAACCCAAACCCCCCAGCAGTGCTGAACACCTTGCGGGGCCCTATGTTCAACCTGGCAGAGCACAAACACTGCCTATAGCAGCCAAAGGCAGCTGAGGGGGCATGTGTGATGTGTACTGGCTATCTCTTGGGACTGCCCATGCACTTGGCTTAAATCACCCAGAAATGGTAAGGGCAGCCTTCTACATACGTGTTTTCTGAAGAGCTCCACGTGGGGACCTAAAGCGTGAGGGTCTGCATCCTTCACAAACCAAACCACATCATCCACTGTCCAGGTCAAAGGATTCTTGCTTGATGGCCGAGCCGCATCTTGTCGTTCTGGTGAAGGACTTGAGGCTATTGGTACAAAAAACCCACAACAGCGCATTACAATGGCATGCAGCGGTTTCCTTGGTTTGTGAGTGTGCAGTGGTATGGCAGCCTCACTGCAGCATTGGATGTTGGATCTGTGTGTGCAAGTATCAGCCTGAGATGGTGGGGTGGGGAGAGAAAGGGACTTGGAGCAGTTTCTGATATGAGTGCTTATCGGGAGACACGATCCCAGCTGGCAAATTGCGTTAAAAACCATGAAACCCTCAGGTTCCTGCTGGGGAAGGAAAAATGTGCCAGCTGACAGGCTCTTAAACCGAGTTGCCCCTGCTGTCTGATCTGCAAGCAGTGGGGATCTTGGCTCAAGAAGACACCACCCTCCCACCTGGAGAGAAAGCGCTTCAGCACTACACAAAGCAATTTACCATCAAATGCGAAGGCTAGAGGATAAAATCAGGATTTAGCAAATAGGGGTTTTTTCTTCACATTCAGATATTCAGACTTAACTTAGAGCTTAAAGGAAGGTTTCTAGTCCATATCCTCCTAATCTTAGGCTCTCACGAAGCTGATGGTCCCCAATGAATGCCTATTTGGAAAGCTACTAAAACACATGAAGATGAACATTGCACATGTGACTTTTTAATGGTATAAGCCCTGGATGATTTAAGGTCACTTCGGCTTGCTGTAGCTTTAAATCAAGTGAATAAAGGCACATTGGAATGAAAGTGCATTTATGTTTTTATTCTTAGTCTCCACAGAATTATAAATCTCAGCCTCCACATGAATATAATTTGCAACCCCACTTATGCTGCTTCACTATTAAAAGAACTGTATTATGCTAGGTTACAGGAAAGCTGTTTAAATTTGTTTATATTGACACCAAGTAAACTTTGCATTAGCAGGTACCAGCACACAGATGTATAAAATGTTACTTGCCCAGACCTGCTCATCTCTTTCCGTTAAGGCCCGGTTTTTAGTGACAAAGGTGCAAATGGTAAGCAAGCAGGCACTACAGAAGACAGAAAGGAAACAGAAGAGTGCAAGTAGAGGGAGACCACAGATACCTAAACTGGAGCCTGGAGAAGTGCCAAGTAGCGAAGAGGGCGATCAGAGCTGCTGAGGAGAGAAGGGCTGAGCTTTCCAGAGAAATACTGAGCTTATAAAGACAGATCAAATGTATGAGAATCCCTATGCGTGACTCAAAACATGATCCTAATGCGTATGAGCAAATGTAGTGGGCTGGGTTTGCAGCTTATGTAGATTGTCATTCCATTGACTTCAATGGAGTCATGCTGATTTATATTAGCTGAGGATCTGCCCCTATATGCACAATAACTGCTTTAGGTGCATATTGGTAATTTTTTTTCTTGCTGCCATGCTCATCTTACAGTATAATGTAATGAGGTATATTTTTCAGTTACGAAGGATGAACTCCAGTAAGCAGCAGTGCTATGAATGTGCAAATCTGGTCAATGGGCTTCATAATGGCATGTGATGTAAATATCATGATAATTACATTCTCATTTGCTAAGTCACTGTTCTGGATATAAAGGACAAGGAATAGCCGCAGGTCCTCTTAATTAGACAGCGAGGATTGGTGTTCATATGGACTCAGGCGACCCTGGGCTCCGCTCACAGAATAAATGCAATACACAACGGTACAGACACCATCTGGAGCCTTTGGCATGAAACGATGAAGACAAAGAGTGCAAAACAAGCAGGGTAATCTTGGCCAACCCCTGGATCATCAGTAACATCGAGTAACTTTGTCAGGGACAAGTGGGAGAACTGAGACTTGTCTCGCAGGCAGAGGGATGAGTATTTCTCCCCTGCCTGATCTGCCGATGGTCTGGGTGCCAGCTGATATGTGGAGATATTGGGCACCTCGGAACCTCAAACCAAAGGTCAGGGAGAAAACCAGGCTTTTGCAAAACAGCTGGAAAATAGATGGCAGGGAAGAAAGGTTTGGCTGTGCCCAAAGGATTGCAGAAGTTTCTATCCTACTGCCATAATGTGGTCAGGGGAGATGCTGTGCCACTACTGAGGATCACATTTTTTCCCTTAAAGTTGTATGAATGTAAGGAAAGCCCAGGGGGCTTAGCCTGGGATTCACACTGGGCACAGAGAAAGCAGCCCCTGGCCCAGTGACTCCTGCCTGCAACCCGCTGCTTCCAGAAATGCCAGGAAAGGGCAAAGGGGAACAGAGAGCCCCGAGAGCATTTGGGAGCCTTCACAGGTACTGGAAATATCTGTAATGAAAGGAAGGGGGATGAGAAGAAAAGGTTGAAATGACAGGGGAATTCTATTCACTTCTTCACAATCTAGCAATCAATAGCGTAAATCCGATTTTTTAAAGACAAATATAAATGACCTTTCTAAAGAGACCACATAGCTAGAACTCTTCCAGGCCCTAGCAGTGAAGATAACCCTTTCAAATCCCTACCTGAGGTATAATACAATAATACAAAACCAAGAATTATATGTAGATACTAACTCTTCAAAGATTGTTTCGTCTTTATTTACCTACCTAGAGTCAAGTCCTGGATTCTCTGCTGCTTTTTCATGAATTAAGATGTGTTATTTTACTTGGGTGTAAGGGGCTACCTTTAAATGTTAGTAAAACTGGGATACTACCAGCTTGCAGACAAATATCTTGAACATGGTTTGTAGCTGGTGAGTCTGGAAACAATCTGGTTTTCCATATCTTTCAAAATATATTTTGTTGTTTGATTTACTCTGGCCTTTTAACATCGTAGTTTACACATTTAAGTGTAATCTCTCTATTTACAAAAGAAAATAAATCATTTCATGTCTACACAAAGCCATGGGGTTAGTTTCAATAGCATCGCTTTGCTGAAAGATTATATTAAACACAAAAGTGTTTGATGGCAGCAGGGCAAGTACTATACATTTTTTCTTATCTGAAGGTATTCACACTTAACCTAAGAATTAGATAAATGAGGAAGTCTCATGTCTCCCGGGTATCCTATGCCATCCTGTCATCAGAATTAATCAAGATGATAATGAATACTCAGATTACAAAGAGATGGGAGTGCTCGCGACCAATAATTATTTTTAGAGATCGTAATCTAGGTCAAATCCAATTTCCTGTTTTTGACAGGTGGCAAAAATTTGTCAAATTAATGGAATGGGATATGGAAATTTAGGTAATCAGAGGGAAGCACTTCCCCCTCCTGCCTGAAGCGGTGTCGGGGAAGGAGAGTGAAGAGGTTCCTCTGCAGGGGCAGGTCTCGGGGCATCCCCGTCGAGACCATTGCCTGCACAGAAGCGGCTGGAGAGACCAGGTCAGTGGCCAAAGCCCAGCGAAGCCGATGGAAGGACGTGGCCTGGCTTGGTCTGAGCTCTCACCCCACGCAGGCTTTTCTCTGCCTCCCACCTCTGTCCTCGGGACCTTCCTGAGAAGGAGGATGGGGAGAGAGAAAGCCAACGGCCGAATGGCTGCAGAGGCATGACAAGGAAATCCGATGCTAAAATGGAGTTAAGCCTGTGAAAGAAGGAAATATAAATAACAGACTCCCTAAATATGTTCTTGGCAAACAAACAGAGCCCAGAGGGAGTACGGTCATTGATAGATAAGAGTGGAAAGGGAGTGACAGATGAACTTTAATATTGCTGCAGGCCTAAATGATTTCTTTGCCTCAGGGGAAGGGGGTGGGAATGAAATTTCAAAAGGTTCTCTCTGATTGCACTGGAGCAGATAATAAGGAGCAGCAGATCTACTGAAACTAAGCAGAAGTAGCAGACCCTCAAAGGCGCAGAGAAATGGGAATTATTTTAAAAAACAAACCACCTCCCACTATAAGCAAGGACAGGAGGAAGTCTTTGTAGAAGACACTTTTCTAAAAGTCTAGGGCACATCAAGGAGGAGAAGAGGAGAGGCATCAGAAAAGCAGGTGTGTGGGAGAACACAATTACAGGATATTTATGGGTGCGATGGAGTTTGATGAGCCACAGTCAGCAGAGAGCTCTGGAAAGAAGATTGGGCTTAGCACATCAGTTTGCACTGGCGGGTGCTTTCAGGAGATGCCGTGCACCACCTGGCTGGTGGCCTCAGCCCTGTGGTGTGGCAGGGCAGAGCCCTCGTCTCACCAGCGCGGCGGCTGCTCCCACTCCTGGCACGGCACGCACCGCGTGGGGATGCAACGTCGCAGGTGCTCCGCTGCCCACTGCAAGAGCAGCCCAGCATCCATGCATCCAGCCACATGCCATGGGCTGGCATCAAATATTTATTTGGGCTTTTCTTGGTTTGCCTCTCTTTTGCAGGGGCAGGGGGAAAATAGGCAGCTCGCTGAAAGCATTGAACCTTTCAGGCTGTAAACGTTTTTCAAAAATTAACAGGCAGGCTGTGTTTGCTGAAGAAGCGATACCCAGTGCTGAGCCCCGCAATGCCGTCAGCAGCTCCTTCGGCACTGCCTTGGGGAGGTGCTGGATCTGGCCCCCACAGGCTGCTTGCAGTATTATTCTGGAAAAAGAGAAACTTCAGACCTTGCGCCCCCAAATGTTTTCAGGAAATAAATGTATTAGCAAGCAGGATTGCCTCTTTAACAAAGGCCCTCAGGTGATTATAATTAACTGCTAATATTGGATAATAAAATCTACATAAAAATAACAAGCTACAGGGCAAGGTTAAGGTTATTATGTTGTGGTTGAACATGCAATTCTTCATACTTGGAATAAAGGCTTGTTTGTTATGTAAGCAGGCTTGGAAAGGTTTATGATGTCCTTGACTATTCCTTCCCTGATTTAAGAGCTTCAATTTGGCAAATGATGACAGGAAAGTGCATGTTTATCTGTTAGCAGTCCCAACTGGCTTTCTGAAATGAGATTTTTTTTTTGTTTGGAATTTTTTAGCATAATCATGGAGAATTAGGCATCATGCTTCCAATCGCATTAATGAGAGCTTTGAGGTTTAATCTCATCCATTCCGCTTGAAAGACATGTTCTGCTATGCACTGAGATATGTTTTATGGTTATGGTTTTTTCCATGATATTTGCCCACCATGATAAATAAGGCAAGCTATTTTTCAAAAATATCCATAAATAAAGAGGATTGGTTTGAGGTTTCAGAGAGAAATTCTTCCTCCTTTTAATGAGTCCTGCCCATCCCTGCCTTGTAAGTATGCAAACTGAGGAGGATAAGAACAGAGGCTGGCATGCACCACTTACTCATCTTTGCTCACTTATGATTCAGCAGCATATAAAGTATCCCCATAAAGAGGAAAAACTCATGCAGAAGCATCGTAGTGAGACCGCAGATTCCAAAGACCTTTGCAAGAGACATTTTGCGAAGAGAGTAATCAAACTTTAGTGTGGCTACACTAAGGCTGTGGCAGAAAGATGTGTATTTTAGAAGTCTGGGATTGCCAGTAGAAGTGGAAGCAGCACGGTGGGTGAAAGTGTGATAGCACTGAAGAAATAGAGTCTCTAATTTTAAGGAGGAACAGGCAATGCTTTGTAGGACTCTACAGTGGGAATTACAATGTTACAGAGCTGACACTATCACGAATGGAGTAGGAGATGAAACCAGGCTGTGACTGGAAACAGGACAGTTTCGTTTATGCTAGAAGTGATATCGTAATGGATCTGTGGGCACCTTGACTTCACTGTGTTGCACATCACAGCCACTGAAAACTGCCTGACTGTGTCTGAGAGCAAACAGCTCTCCTCTGCCTCAGAGGACCCAGGTCCTGCTGTGGACTGTGGGAAACTCTCCGCTGGAGGCTCCAGAAAGCAGCTGAGTGGATCAGAGGAAATGCGCTGGATGGAGGTGGCACAAATGTGCACTAGCCATTTGTGCTGACGTACAGCGGTGCCTATGGGTAGCGCACAGGTGATTGCTGTTCCTCTTGTTGGAGACCTTGACAGCAAACCCATCTCCGTGGGTTTACGTGTACCGTTATGGCAGATGCTAATCTACAATGGATGATACTGGGACTAATAAATTGTTAATAATTGTAAATGATCAATATCAACAGATTAATAACTGTTTTCATGATGTTCACTGCATAACTGTCAGTTTTAGGGAGCCTTTACTGTTGAGCTGGCCAAACATCCCAGAGGTCCCAGATGAGCTAGCCTTTGCAAATGCATGTCACATAAAACATACTAAGCAGTTTGGGGATGAGACCTGTTACCCTAAAGTATCATATATAGCAGCTTAAAGTCACCTGTAACTGCTTCAAAGACAACCAAATATCATGGGTGCCTGGTCCAAAAGCGATCTCTTCCTCTTTGTTCCTCAAAGTGCTTTAATATGTTTCAAGCTAGAGGAGTATAGGAACCTGCAAAGCCTATTGCATGGCTACTACATGACTCTTCTGAGACAGGGAAACAGTGGCATTCACAGTGAGAAACAAGAAGGGAAAGTAATTCAGATGAGCAAGTTTAAGGAGCTCTGATTTTACACTTCAATCCCTTGAACATAGATTAAAACCCCTGATACCAAGGCTTTTCTCCACACAACGCATTTTTAGCACAGGAACTCTACCACAGTACTTTGTGGATGCTGAAAATGCACAAAGTATTCAATAAGCCATTGGGTGATTCAGGGAAGAAAAATCTATGAAGGGTAACTAAATATGAATCCACCGCTTCTGGTTCAGGAAACCCTTGAGCCACAGATTTCTGAAGGCAGAGAGGGTAGTGGGGAAGCACCACCATTTCTGCACTTATCCCTTTCCTGGGGGTGTGCTGCTGTCTCATGCTGGAGACAGGGTGCACGGCTAGACAGACCTTTGCTCTGAACTGCTCTGACCCTTCCTATGTACTACAAAGAGATAACGACTGATCCCAAGCAGGATGATAAAGATTTTCAAAGCAAGCAAGTAACAACATTGTTAAATCTTGGCTCCTCACAGCTGCCAACTAAAAAGCTTGACCAAAGGGTCCCAGTTCTGCTAGGAGGCTCTAGGGAAGCAGTGGGAGAGGGGAAAATGAATCCTGCGCACAGGACAAGAGCCTCTTGTCCTCCCAGCACTTGATTATGCCTGCCCAAGAGGCACTGAACAAGATCTGAAAGAAAGTGGGTTTTCATTTCCTTTTCATTGTAACTGAGGCCCCCAGTTCTTAGTGGCAACCCTTTAAAAGTTGTTTGCAGTAGTGCATTCCTATACTAGCCACTTTGCTTTGAGTAAAGTTGACTCTATAAGTAAGGAAAAAATAATAATGAGAACCAAATGGTTCGCTGTGCTCTGTATAATAGAGTAACACAGGGGTAAACCAAGGAAACAAGTATGCAAGAATAATAACAAAGTGAGCGATGGTTTTGCATAGGTATTGAATATTTAGGAAGGCAAACATAGATAAACAAAGAAATACAAGGGTAAATACTGGTAATACATATTTTGGAATAATAATGTTCTAAAATATTAAATAGTGGAAGTTCAGGATCAAGAAATAATACAGGTGTTGAAGAGGTGAGGGACATGAAAGACTTATGCAAAGATCTGCGGCTACTGGAAAGAGGCTCTCGAGTGGCCACCAAGCAAGAATGTGCAGAATCACTTGCAATTTCCAGGGGAAATGCAAGGGCAGAAAGACAGTGTAATGAGATAATGGTAGACAAAGGGGCTAGGGGAACCAGCAAGGCTTCTGCAAATATATCAAGACTAAAAAAAAAAAAAAAATACTAGAGTGACAGTAGATTCCATTAATAAATGAGGAAGGGAAAGAAATTAATGACTTAAGAATGGCTGAGACTCAACTCCTTTGTTAGATCTATCTTCAAGATGAAAAATGCATAAATGTATTTTGAATAATTAGTAAGGGGTGAAGACACTGTTTGAATCACTACAGAGAAAGACCTGTTAATGGAGAACTTGGAAGATAAAAACAAAGACAAAGTTAACAGAAGTTCAGGGAATTAGCTAGCCCATTTGATGAACCCAGGTCATTTCTAGAGGAAAAAAGTCATGGCTAATAGGGAAAATAGGTAATGGGCAGAGCAACCGACCCAGCAAACCTAAATCCTAGCAGGGTTACTGGACAAAAATATAAAGAGAGGGAAGAAGAAGGGTTATTCAATGAAGTGGTTCCCATGGCATCCCTTGAATTTGCAGATAAACTTCTTGTGACTTTGCTTCCTGAAGGATAAAAAAGCCTTGAGCAGTGAGCTGGATGATTTCTAAAAATGTATGTTTTGCTGGGCAGTCTTTTTCAAGCAAAATCTGACCTCGTTCATGATTAAAGGGGCAGGATGGGCCATGCAACTAGGAAGCAAAACCTTTTGCTAAAATGGTTTCAGGTAGGCACTAATATTTAGTTTTGCTTTGCATCATATCTTGTACACACCTGGTGTCACACAAATAACAGGTACCTGCCTGTAGACAGTGTCAATCTTTTGGAGGAATGCCTTACATATTAATATTTATATCTGTAAGTTGATAATGGCACTTGTGATTGCCACACGATTATACATAATACATATGTTTACGTAATTAATAACAGCATTAGAAAACATTCACCTTTTTACTTAATGATGAACAGATTGATTTTGTGTTTACATAAGTTATTATTTCTCCTTCTTCTGGAAGCATGTGTGGTCTGGATGGATGTTAACCCAGACCCACCTCACTAATTTTCCTGGGAATTTGGGAGTGAGTTAACACTCCATCATGGCACCAGCATAGCAACACACATTGCTAAATGGAAGATGTTATATTACCACTTCTGTTTCCTTCAAGATAGGTCCCATTCCTTGTTGGGCTGGAGGTCTGTTGTCGCAGGCCAGTAGACGAGGACCCCCCTGAAGACATCTGGGCAGGACGATGGCTACAGGAGGAAGAGGAGCCTCCAGCAGGACATCCATCTGCAGGACTCTGCCGCATGGGGTACATGGAGCCCATGCAACCAAAGGCAGAATCGGCAGGATCCACATTGTACCGCTTCATGTTCGCAGGATCAACCAGGTAGTCCTCAGGTGTGACTGTTTCTGCCCAGGAAGCCAAGACACAAAAGAAACATCAGTAAAACAGAACCAATTTTAATTCAGCCCTTGAAAAAAACAATATATGTTTTTGCCAAAATTCCCTTTTTTGGCAAAAAGTTTAACTCCATTTCCAACTTTCTGTACAGACAGCTGGCTCCAGGAGAGATCCTTGCTGAGAATTAATAAATAATGAAGGGAAGCACAACCACTCAGAAGTCAGTAGAGTCACAACAGGGGAACTATGGCTTGGTGTGACTCATCCGTGACAGCTTATGGCAATATTCTCTGTAAAGTCCTGGGCCACTGACTGGCGGGTCCCATTTGCTTCATGGTGCTCCCCGAATACCACCGAGAATGGATGATTGTGCAGCTATTGTTTGCTCTGTCTTTCATTTAAAAACATGAAAGTTGAAAGGAAGAAGGCAGAGGAGGACAACAGGACAGACAGTTTGTTGGGTTCATAACACCTGGCAGCCAGTAAGAGGGAGTGAAGGTAATAAACCAAAGCGTTCTGGCTGCAATTACCAAAATTAGTCAGAAAATATCCTCAGCTGCAGACATCCATCAGGCCTGGTATCCTGCAAGGAGAAGAGGCTTGATGGCTGACAAGCACACCCAAGGTTTATCACAGGCAGAGATGCGTGAGTGAGTCACTCAGACCCAGCATGGGTTCAGACACACGTGCCAGCATCACGGACCTAGGTCCATGTCCTTCTTGCTTCGCTGTCTGGACTGAGACTTCCATGTCTATGTCACTGTCCTCCTCTGGCCAGTCCCAGTCTCCTCCCAACAGTCCTCAATGTCCAAGCTCCTGCCTATTGTCTTTTTTGTCTTCACAAAACATAGTCAAACTCTTCCTCCTCCTCATTCCCACTGCTGTTTTCCCTGCAAAACCAGCCCTCCCCTCACCCAGCCCCAGGACCCTCTCATAGAATGGAAAAGACCTTTAAGATCATCCAGTCCAACCATTAACCTACACTACCAAGTCTACTCTAAGCCAATCAAGGGTAGACTAGACTAAACCATGTCCCGAAGTGCCACATCTACCTGTTTTTTGAACACAAAAAATGTCCACCACATCGCCACCACCACTGGCATACAAGCAGAGCCCCCGGAAACCTCTCTGAGATCCAAACCTTCACATAACACCCTACAAATACTGACAACCTACACTTCAGAGATTCCCACTTTCACTGGGTGAAACAAGGCATTAATATCTGGCAGGCAGGGAACCCCCAGATTAGGAAATTGCCTCCCATTGCCCCATGACATTTCTCTGAGCTGTTGAAAATGCCACTTTCCTTATCCTGTGTACTCTCCCTCCAGACACATCTGAGCAGGGTGAAATTACCCATGTGGTGTTGCACATCTCCTTCCCTGCCTGAGCAACACCCTCCTCCCGACATATTGTGTAGCCTTATTGAGTAACAGGAACTTATGCTGTAATTTATGCTACAAGACCCAAACCCCATCGCTAATACGTGTTCTGTATTGAAGCTGTTGAAGCTGTATATAATGGAATTTTCCTTTTAATTTACATTTTTACTTTTTTCTTTTGAAAGAAAAACCTTGGCAGCTGCCAACAGTAGTTGATGTCCAAGAAACACGATTTAGTTTGACAACTCAAATACTCAAGAGGTGTGCCATGCCAGCATCCTGGCTTGTGTGTCAAGCCACAGCACAGATTTTTGGTACGTTATTGCCTGACTTTTCATTTTCTTGCTGCTGTCTTTTAAAACTTTGTCCTATTCTGGGCCAAGGCTGGACTCGCCATAAGGCAAACATCAGATCTGAAGGACCGCTGTAAATGTGAAGTTTCCTCACTTTTGGGGACTTGCCTTTGCAACTGCAAGCAACTTTCCTTTAGCAAGGCTTTTTTCCTTTAGATAATTCTGATTCTTACAGCATGTATTCAGGTATCCTGCTGCTTTCTGCCAGGGATTTCTGAGCTTGATTCTCACACAAATACACACAGGGTGTAATTCAACTGAATTCAACGGAGTTCAGCTAACATAACACTAGCATAATAGAAATGGGAATCAGACACTCTGAACCTTTCTCCCTAACCTCCAACAGATGCCAAAATTGTAGAGCAATCGAGCTAAATACCTTGCTTTTCAGACTCCTCCCAATAAACCAAAGAAAATCCAATCAAGCCTTCTCATTCAAAGGAATTTAATTACTGTGTAGAACACTTGCAATAAAAGCCTCTTACGCATAAAGAAGACAGCTCTTTCTGCAGCATCCTGCCTGCACCACATGGAATAATTATGCCTCTTGTGAATCATTACCTCTTTATTCCAGGAAAAGAATGCTCTTTTAATATGATTACAATATGAAGAAGACACAGAATATCAAAACAACAAACAGCACATTAAAAGAGCCCTGCTAAATAAACAGCATGCAGCTTTTATTACTACGGATATAAACGACTCCAAAATTTGTGAGCGGACACCAGGGATTTTTTGACTGATGTCATACTCTCTCAGTAGTCTGTGTGAAATAAGACATGCGTGGGTGAAATCTCCCTGTGGAAGGACACCCATGAGTCGTGTACAAGGCTATGACTATGATGAGGAGCCAGATGCCGTCAGTTCTGTTCCTGACTCTGCCTAAGACTCTTTTCTTGATCTAGATCAATTTATTCCACATGTCTCTGCTTTGGGGCCCAAAATGGGAGTAATGATGCCTACTGCCATGGACCAAGCAGGAGGCTCCATTCATTACTGTTTGAAACATGCCCCAGCAGAAGGTGCTCTGGGAATTTGAAAAGTGATATTCATGTCTTCACTGGACAGGGGGGAGCAGGGATCATCTCAAGCAGCCACATTTGTAAGCAAGCCTTTTCAGAGCTCCTGATCTTCAAGTTGACATGAGCAGTCAGTAGATTACTAGAGCAACTCATCAGAGTCACCTCCTCCTGACCAAAAGAAGCTCATGAGGAAATGCAGGTCACAGTTAGATTAGGAAAAAAGAGACTGTGCATTCAAGTATGTGTGGTTACAGGTTTTAACTCATACAGTTTTAAAAGGTGCTGGTCAGTTTCTGTGCTCCCTGCTGAGTGTGGGCTGCTTTGTAAAGCTGCACGAGCTGGTGCACCTTGAGCAACCATGTCTCTGTGAGCCCATGCCCTGCGATTGTCTGCCCACCCCAGGAGAGGCCCACACATGGGAGGGAAGACACAGGCAGGCCCATGGAACTTTCAGGGCATAGAGAGATACATTATGTCCCTGAGGGGTGACACAGTCCCCAGTGACACTTTGGGGCAGGAGAAGACAGCTGCATGACCCCCCTCCCAGCAGCAGAGAAGGAGATGAAGGTGACCAGGGACAGTCTGTATGGGTTCACCAAGGATCAGTCACACCTGAGCAACCTGATGGCCTTCTATCATAAAGTGACTGGATGTGTGGGCAAAGGGAGAGCAGTGATGTAACTTGCCTTGACTTTAGCAAGGCTTTCAACACCATCTCCCACAATCTTCTTGCATCCAATTTACAGCATTACGGTTGGGATGAGTGAGAAACGGGTTGGATGATCAGGCTTAGTGGGTGGCAGTTAATGGGTTGTATGGAGGCCAGTAAAAAGTGGGGTACTGCAGGGGTCTAACCTGGCATCCAGGTTTGGTCTCTGCAATACCAGACAGACATGGACAAATGGGTGAGTTCAGCGGAGGGCCATCAAGATGCCTGGGGCATGGAGCACTTGCCCTAAGAGGAGAGGCTGGGGGAATGGGGCTTGTTCAGCCTGCGGGAGAGGCAGCCTGGGGGTAGGAACCTAACAGCAGCCCCACAGGACCCATGGGGAGGTCACCAAGAAGAAGGAACCAGTCTATTCACAGTGGTGCATGGCAGGAGAACAAAAGATAGCAGGCAAAAATTGAAATGAAAGCTTCAGACCGGCTACAAGGAAAAAGCTTTTCCCTGTGAGCACAGCGAGGCAGTGGCAGATGTTGCCCAGAGAGACTCTGCAGGCTCTGGCACTGGAAGTTTTCCAGACCCAACTGGAAAAAGCCCTCAGAACCTGGTCTGACCCCATAGCTGACCCTGCTTTGGACAAGGCGTTGGACCAGAGCCCTCCTGGGGTCCCTTCCCACCTGAATTGTCCTCTGATCCTATGATTGACATCTTCTCCACTCAGAAGCAGCTGCAGAGGGTAGGGGAGGACCATGGTGAGGGCTCCTGTAAGGGCTCCAGGGCCCCTTATAGTGGCATGGGAGGCAGCAGGAGGGATGGGCTCCACTGTCCAGAAGATACAAAAGACTGTGGAAGCTTTTTGTGTTATTTCTCCAGCTCCCTGTTAGTTTGTATCACAGAGAAGCTGCACAAATTGGGGCTCGACCAATGATGCGTATGAAAATATCTGCATTTTGTAAGCTCCCAGAAGACTCTGTAAAGTGCACAGCTTTCACAGCTACTAATCCCACTTTGACCAATTAGGGAAAAACATGTTTTCTAAGACAATAGAAGAAAACATAACTCTCTACTGAGGTTTAAAATGCAACAGTTTCATAAGTCTGTAGCTTAGCCCTTCTGTATTCCATTGCACTTCTGTATTTTATTTTCTAGGTAGCCAGCAGAAAGGCACACACTACTGAGAAATTGTTACACAATGCTTTAAAGCAGGATTCATGAGAAAGCTGCTTCGAGCCTTTGCTTTGAGCACAGTAGTCTCCATTACAACTGTTCACCACTCTGAGATGCTCAAGCCATTTTCGTATCGTTTTCCTTTCCATGAACAGTCCACAGGCAACTGGATTGAAAAGCTCAAGTCTGTTACATCCAGCACACCTTAAAATACAGCAAAGGAGAAGAGAAAAAACCCAACTGCTTTTCCAATTTTAAAATGCACATTTCTTTAGCTGAGTTTCTTTAAAGTAGCAGCCTGTTATGGTTCCCAGCCAAATTCCTGAAGGTGGGTCAGCTGAGAATTAAAACAGCATGAGAACCTGCAGCTCCCATCCCAGCTCTGCAGCAGACCTCTGGGGTGACCTTGGTCACGTTATC